ACGCTGCAAGAAAATGTTAGCCAAAGTTTTTTTGTGTGTGTGTTTTTGTTTGTAATTTAGTTCTTCGTAAAGATTTAATAACATAGCTTCAACAGTGTTTTCCTGAGTAGTTTAAATGAAGCTTATTTGGGCAATAAAACAATAGAAAAAGTGTTTAGAAACCAAATGAAAGCATTTGAGAGTTCACTGAAGTGGACAAAGGTTAGAGCAAGGCAGCAATCACAGTGCATTTTTTAAAATTTGACCATCAGTCTTTAGTATTTGTATTTCCATAATGCTTAATCCTTTGCCAGATATCTCTAAAGAAAAGAAATTATGATCAAGAAAATTATACTAAAGTTTTGCCATTTGGTTAGTAGCCCTCACAGTAATACAGACTGCAGTCACTGTACATTATCTCTGTGGCATATAGCCAGTTTGGCTATCAGCAGGTCCAACTTTAGTGGAATTTTCATTTGCATCAGTTTTATCTCCTCCATTTCATCTTGACTTTTATGTTTTAGAACAAATCACTCAATCTTTAGCTTCCCAAACATTCTTTTGGATCAAAGGATAAATTTTATGCATTGCAGGTTCTGAGCTGGAGATAGATATGAGAAGCTGGAACAGGCATTAGTTTCTAGAGTTAATCATATAACTTGAATGAACACCTTAGAGTGCTTGACTGAATTCTCTAACTTCTGACTGAGGCAGGTTTAATTTCAGACCCCCGATGCATAAACAATACTGGTTGCATTTTCGCAGACCGGATGGACTATCTGTTTCAATGCCCTGCTTAGACAGTAGCCCATGGAAGATTCTGTGGGAAGAGCATTAGGAGTGTTATGGAATGGTGATACTTCCCCAGTACTCTCTGGGACTTGGTAAGCAGTGATTTTCTGGCCAGGAGATGGTATCTTTATATATAGTGTTAGTGGCTCTTGCTTCTGTGAGTTTGTGTAATCATTTTTGAACTCCTGTGAATTTTTGGCATCCTTAGCTTCCTGTAGTAAGAAGGCATCCACAGTTTAATTATGTGTTATGAGAAAAACTACCTCCTTTTGTTTTTTTTTTAACCTGCCCACCTGATGACTTCATTTGGTTTTTCCTTTGTCTTGTATCATAAGAGGTAATTGTTCCCTATTCTTCTCCCTGAAGCCCATGATTTTATAGGTATTTTTCATATTTTTCAGTTGTCCTTTTTCCAAGCTGAAAACTCCGTATTTATTTAGTCATTCCTCAATATATAAGCTATTCCATACCTTTGATCATCTCTACAGCATTTCTTTGTACTTTTTCCAGTTCTACTGTATGCTTTTTGAGAAGGGAGGGGGAACAGGGGTTAGAACTATCCTCAGTATGCAAGAGATGGATGCAATTTTGGTTTATATGGTAGCATAGTAGTGTTCTTGGTTTTGTTCCCTTTGCATTTCCTAGTAATTCCTAACACTGAGTTTGCTTTTTGCGAGTGTTTTAGTGATTTCATTCAAAATCTATTATAGCTATAGTTATAAGGTCTCCTTCCTGAACAGAAATACCTAGTTCAAAGTCCATCACTGCATAAAACTAGGATTATGTTTCCCTGGGTACATGACTTCATAGTTATTGAATTGAATGTCATCTACATATTTAATGTCTGATCATTCAGTAACGCAATGTTTTTTTCACATTTCTCAGTGACTTTCAGTTTTTCAGCAGCAAACTTTTTTTCACCTTTTTTTTTCCCCCCAGATCACTTACTTACAAGTGTTCTGAACAGCAGAGACTGTAGCACAGATTTTTGTGGGACCCCAGCGGTAATCTCCTTCCATTGGGGAAACTGTCCATTTATTCTAGCTATGGTTTCATGTGTTTTAACTAGTTATGAAATCCATGAGAGGTAACCTCTTTATCCTACGTTGGCTTATTTTATTTAGGAGCATTTTGAATGAACTTACCACATTTTCTCAACTGAGAAATTGCTGGTGTGAAAAAGTTATTCTAGGCAAAAGAACAAATACAATTGTTGTTTAGTTCAAAACAGAGGCATTGAAGATCATAATCTTTTAGTATTACTGATGAGGAATTAATCAGGCTGTTTACTGAGCCCTAGCATAACTTTGATGGAGCTCCTGAATGCTCTTCAGCTTTGTATCTGGTGCAGTTGATGTTTGTTTCAAGGGCTGGTCTGCAGTAACCCCCAGCTGTCTCCCAAGGGGTGCATCCCAGTCCCAGCACAGTCCTTTCTGCTTTTCAGCTGTCAGCATGACCTGAGTTTTTTTGGAGGGTAACAGAGACTCCAGCTGCTTCACACAAGGGAAAAGTCCAATGAGATTTAACATCAGAATGGATGGTGGAATCTATATCTAAGCAGTAGATTAAGCAGATACTACCTGTGGGATGGGAGTTGAGTCCAGGTGACAGCAACCTGCTGATAACCCATGTGGTGAGCTGGTGGGATTGGAGGGGAGACAGCTGGGGATCGTTTCAAAGATTCCCTATGCCTTGTCATGTCCTCCTTTTAAGTTGTGCTTTTTGTGGCGTCCTGTGCTCAGGAGGGGACAGTGCTGGGAGGCCAGCAGCACACACACATCCATGGATCCAGAGCTGAGCAACTGCAGATAAAACCACAGTAGTAGAGGATCGTGACCCCATTACTGGGGCAGAAGGGGGAAGGCAGGTTCAGGAGAGGGAAGCAGCTCTCCAAGGCTAAGCACAAAGCCAGATTTGGACCTATGCAACCTGGGCTTCAAGGCCTGAGTACTGTCAGCAACATTACAGTTGTGATTTTTCCAAGCACTGGTGAAAGGAAAAGAACTGAAAGACTGAGAATCTTGTAGCAAAAGGGGGCAGGAAATGAGTCATTTATCCAGTGTTGCACTGGGGTACAATAGAAGCATAGGTGGGATTCCTTGAACAGAGAAGTCTAGAGGAGGCTACCTCCAGCCAATGGCCCATAAGAGCAAAAGTGGTAGTGGTGTTCCAACCAGGAGGAGGCCCAGAGGATGCAAGGTCGAGATGCTAGCAGCTGAACTCCTTTTCCACTAGGTTGTCGTACTCTGTTGCTGAGGAGCTGAGTATGGAGAGTGACCCTTTAGTGTTTAGAGTCCTTGTCCTCAATTTGCTTTGAAAGGGATGCATTATGTTGTTTTTGAGGGAGAGTACATAGGGCTGGCAGTTGCTTCTAGTCTTCTGTATCAGAAATAGTGTGGCCAGCAGGAGTAGGGAAGTGATTGTACCCCTGTACTCGGCACTGGTGAGGCCACACCTCAAATTCTGTGTTCAGTTTTGGGCTCCTCACTACAAGAAGGACATTGAGGTGCTCGAGTGTGTCCAAAGAAGGGCAATGAAGCTGGTGAGGGGTCTGGAGCACAAGTCTTATGAGGAGCAGCTGAGGGAACTGGGGTGGTTTAGTCTGGAGAAGAGGAGGCTGAGGGGAGACCTTATCACTCTCTACAACTACCTGAAAGGGGGTTGTGGCAAGGTGGATTTTGGTCTCTTCTCCCAAGTAACTAGTGATAGCACGAGAGGAAGTGGCCTCAAGTTGCGCCAGGGGAGGTTTAGACTAGATATCAGGAAAAATTTCTTTACTGAGTGGTCACGCATTGGAACAGGCTGCTCAGGGAGGTGGTGGAGTCACCATCATTGGAAGTATTCAAAAAGCATGTAGACGTGGCACTTCAGGATATGGTTTAGTGGGCATGGTGGTGTTGGGCTGGTGGTTGGACTTCATCTTAAAGGTCTTTTCCAACCCTAATGATTCTGTGATTCTGTGAAACATCCTTCTGAATATTGTAAGGGTTTGCTGTGATGATGAAGCTTGTGGGGGAAGGTGCAACACATTCAAGGGAAGCTGTGACATGTTCAGAGAACCTAGGTTGTAAGTTTTGATAGGATCCTGAAGCAAGGAGATTGCAGTTAACTCCCTTGCCAAAACAGTGACCTACACTCCGAATCATGGCATAAAATGTAAAAGACACCAAGTATCTTTTACATCCCAGTTACTTATGACATGCATAGGAAATACAAGGGAAGTCTGCCCTGGAAATCCAAAGTAAGTATTTCGAAAGAGTGGCTGAGAGAAACATGACAGAGGTCAGCAGAAACTTGGGAAGCTCAGGCATTGAGGCTTGAAGGTTTTATTAGCCAGAGTGTCAGGATTCAGTGGGTCATATGGCATCCTGTCTTATGAGCACAGGATGTGTGAGTTGCTGGGCCATTGTAGCCTCTTTAGGACATTTGTGGTCCTGTCAGTCTGCCACCTGCTCTCTGCAAAGCCCTTCAGCCTTGTGTGGAAGTGTGTTGGTGCTGCCTTTTCGCTGAAGCTTACAAACTTCAAAGCAAGCCAGTGAGCTCCTGTTGGTACTTATCATGTTGCAGGCCACAGCTGAACTCCCACTGTATAAGCCTGGGTTGTAAGAGCTCCTGCCTCTTTGCAGTAGGCCTTTTCTCCTCTGGTAAAGGATTGCATGACTTTGATGAAAGAAATGAGCCTATCTTCAGTCCCCTCAGGTCTTTTGGATTGTAACTGTATGGAGTCAATATGTGCTGTAGTTGCAACCCCACCCTACCGGTTCTTGATCCTCTCTGTGGCTATTGTACAATATGTCTGTCTTCTATCCCACTCTCACTGCAGCATGTGTGTGCTTGGTGTAAACCTTGTGTTAGTGTATTAACACAATCTCTACAAATCCAAATAAACAATTATCTTATTAGTGATGGGAATCCTTAACTCTTTTCCTGCTGCAACTCTGCCTCTCTTCAGCCACAGACATGCTCCAGTTTAGAATTTTTCTTCTCTTTTCCTTTGTTCTCTTCAAGCATGGTGTTATGGCTAGTAATATGGTCCCAGTTTGGAATTCAAGAAACTCCTTAGCAAGATGACAGTTGGCACATGGCACCTCTAAGCAGGTGTTGTGCTTGCTGGAGCCACTTAACACCGATTCATGGCTGGCTAAGGGGTTTTAGGAAGCAGCAGTGCCTTGAAAGCGAGAGTCTTTATATGCAGAGTGGTGAAAGCATGATGACTTTTCTTTTCTCAGGGCTCCTGAGAATCATCGTTTTGCCTGGGAAGGAGACATGGAGAACAGTATCTACAACAAGGTGACACGAAGTCCGCTGGCACATCCCAACTATCTGCTCCATTTTGCTGTGCAGCAACTTCAGCAGCAAAAACTTCAGTCACGACAGCTGTTGGAGCAAAGCCAAGCCCGGCACCAGGTAATAAAGAAAAAATCCTGCCTGGGATGTAGCAGTGCTGACTGAGTCTTAGATGTGCAGAACCAATCCAGAGCCAGTACATATAGCGCAGCTTTTGTGAAAGAGGTAGCTCTTCAAGTGCGTGCAACAAAACTAATATTCCTGCAGTGACTTTGATAGCACTTTGATGCTGTAGTTCCAAATGGCTTCTTCCACTGCACTGGCATCCTCCTCCATTTGGCTACTGGCATGCTGCTCCTTGCTTTTCTGCACCAGTTCAGGGTATCCCCTTATAGTGCCTCAGACAACTTTAGAACTGTCTACAATCTTCACAGTTCTTTGTCCCTTAATCTTGTCACTGATGATATGTTCCTGCTTTGACTTGAGTTCTTCTTGGGTAGTACTTCAAGTTGGATCACTGTTGTATTTCAGTGTTCCTAAACATAGGGCAGCTGTGTTCTCTGTGGCAAACAGGACCCCATCAAGGCTTTCATCTTGACTAAATTCTTCTCATGTGTGTCTTCTCATATGATGTAGTTATCAAAAGAGCAGTATAACAAGGGGACTCAAAAATTATTTAGGAGAATCTTCATTCTTTTGAAGAAATGTATTAAATTTCTTCTAAGAGCCTTTAGTATGTAGGAGGCATGGCCAACGACCCTGATGCCAGATGCAAGTTTTCTCTGCAACCCTGCAAATCTTATCCAGGACTCCTACACATTTTGTCATTACTACATTTAAGATCTCCTTTCACTGCTTTGCATGGAACTGACAGGTACATTACTCCTTTGTTACAATTGCAAAGAGAAGAGATGGGTTAAGTGTCCAAGAGTTAGAGGAAATATGAAAGAGGGTTAGTATTATTGATGTTCTGGATAACATCTAGATGCCAAGGGTGGACCACTGTCTGGAACAGCATTTCCGCCCTGCCTGGGGAATCTTGCAAGGTTACAATGAGTTCATTGATGCACTCATTACCTTTCTTTGTTATTATGGAGAGAGAGTTGTGTTCTTTCTTCTGAGTGACGTCCCAAAGGCTTCCTTGCTAAAGGGAAGGAAGTCTTTGGGTGAACAAACCTTCACGCAGAAGAGATTGGTCTCCATTAGAAAGGAGCTATTTTCTGGGCAGTCTGGCAGGACTGGACTCCAACAAAACCATGAACAGCACTAACATGTGGAGGTCTGAACACCCACTCACCCTCTTGTGAAGCAGATGAGTCACTAGTCAGCGTTCTTGAGGATAGGTTGTAGGTAAATTGCCCTCATCCTTTTCTGGGAGCATCTTGAAGGAGAGGCCCTTCTGCCTTTGCTCCTTGCACTCCTTTCAAGGCCCTCACTTAGCCATGCAGTTTCCATCCCCAAATTCCCTCACCTACAGTCTTCATGCTCCCCTTCTGAGCAGGAGGTCTTCCTTTCATCTCTGTCCAGGGGGCGCTGGGTGGGCAGCTGTGGCAGCTCAGGAAAGGGTTGTAAGCTGGCTTGTGCCTGTGAGGAGGCTGGAGCTGGCCATGGGGCCTGGCTGAGCCCTCTTCTAATTGCTGACATTGAGCTGATGTTATTCTTGGCCTGGGGCACAGCCATTACTCAGGAGTTTCTGTTAAAGTGATTCTTTGTTAAACCTCCTCTCACCCCCACAAAATCCCCCTCCTTTCTCTCCCTCCCTCCTTCTTCTGAGCCAAGCAGTTTGGAGTTGCAGTATTGAGGCCGTTGCCATGCCGCAGGGCTCAGGCTGCACTGAAGTTGCCATTAATGAAGAAAGGTATGTGCTGGACATGGGGGCTTTCAGGCTTTCTGTAGTGAAAACCACATCTTAATAAAATGATTCTCTTGGACACTTCCTCTCCCACTAGACATTGTACGGAGCCAGCCAGACCTCCCCTTCCAGTCATAGTTGCACCGATCCTCTGATGCCCCTCCCAGTCTCTGCACTACCCTCATCTTCATCTGTCTATCCTCTGCTCCTTCTAGTTTCCTGTCACTGACCTCTTCCTCCTAGTTAGTTTCTAGTTTCTAGCTAGTTAGTTTCTCAGACTTCAGTCCTTTGATCTGGCCTTCCAAGAACTGCCTTCTCTTTTCTGCTGCTTACACACTCCCTGCCCTACATCTTCTTTCCACTCACACTGCTTTGATTTCCATCCCACCTTTTCCTGCTGGCCATCATTTGGCTTCTCTTTTTCCCCACAGTTCATGCAGCTTATCCTAGCACGTATGGCTTTACTACATTTCCTAGTCAGTGTCACCTAAGCTACCTATCTCCCATTGCCTGCTCTTTCCTTTCTGTTCCTTCCCACATATTGAGATCTACTCCATCCTTTGTTGTCTTGCCTGCTACATTCAAGTTCCTCAGCCTTCTCTTAACAGAATAAATATATCCCCCAAAGCAAAAGGCCTATCACTTTAAATTTTGAGTGTCGTCATCTCTCTACTTTGGGGAATGCATGCAGGATATCTCCAAGCCAGTTTCACCTGATTGTTCGAGTTCTTTTTATAGTTGGAAGGCAGGCTAGCCATTTGTTGGTAGCTGAAGTAGTGCATTTTTATTAATATATCTCAAAATGCACCCTGAGTATGGCATGACCATACAACATGACTAGATGCCAGTCTTTCCTTCCCTCTGTAACAAATGGGCCAGTCAGAGAGAGAGAGAGAGAGAGAGACAGCATGTGAACAAGTAACAGAAGCACCATGATTAATAACACAGGTAAATGCTTCTGCCTGTACATTAACCAGTTCGATATGTTGGAGATGTGATGGATGTGTTGGAAAGCATGGAAGTTCGTAGTCAGGTATTTGTGTAATAGTATCCCCATCTGCCATGCAATGGATGTATCTTATCATGAAGGCTTATTGTGTACTTATTTGTGGCAGCACCCACTTTTGTTTGAGCACTTTCCAGACACTTAAGAGTGATGATTTCCCCTCCAGGCATCTAACAATTCACAGAATAGCAAATACTGTGTAGGTGGAGGAAGAATAATAATAACCAACAATTTTCACTCATTGTACGTGTAAGTTAGTTCACACAGTTGTAGTATGGTGGAAATAGATCTTTGATGCCAGAATAGGTACTTCATTCCCTGGACAAAAAGAAAAACACCAAACTAACTGTATGAGAACCTAACAAACAAATGGATGCAGTGATAGGGCCCAGGAACAGAGATGATACAGAGCCTGAGAAAAGAGAAAAAAACAGAAAGGGGCAGAGTTTGAAAGTGGAGACAAGAAGCTTAAATCTAATATCAACAAAATCAAGGAACAAGGATTACAAAATCAAACTAAAAGGCAAGAAAAACAGGCTTATAGCAGTATTTTTAATGTTTAAAGGAGACTTCATGTGACACATTATGACCTAGATGTTAGTATCACTGCTGCAGTTGGCAAGGGAGTTAATATACCATCATTGTTTATTCTCTAATTGCTTCCTGTACTGGAAAGATGCCATTAGCTGTTAGGGAGGTTCCTCCTTCTCTGTGTGGCTATGTTCTGTCTGCTTAGACTAGCATCTACTGGGTTTAGAATTTTATGCCAAACATTTCACATGAGAAAAAAGCTAAATTAAAACAAGAAAAGTACAGTCATACAGTGGAATGATCCCCATCAGCCCTGCTTATATCAAAAAAGCTCATGTTAAACAAGGCATAAATCATGTTAATGAGTTGTGTGGTCAGTTATGATCACACTTGCAATCAGAAGTTTAAGTAGATTTTATGCTATAAAACATTGGGCTACGTTAATCTTAAATAATTCTCCTCTCAGTCATTTAAAAATGGTGTTTCTCTGAAATATTCCTCATTTTATGAAGTTCAGCAAAATTTTTTCTTGTAATGTATGTGAGTCTTCTGAAATCCCTACAGTTTATTTAGATCTGACTGAGAACATTGAGTATTCAGAACAGTATTCCTAGAACTACATTATTCCTGCCTCAGGACACAGGGCCTCTTTGAATGCAGCCTTAAACATCATTAAACTGTTTTCTAAACTATTATATGTTGGACTGCTGTTGGATTTGCAGTCTCTCTTCCCCTTCAGTCTCTTGTTCATTCTTGTTTTGCAGCTTTCCTCTTCAGATTGTTTTCCCACTAAATGTGCTAACTGCCATTTTTCCTGTTTGAGTCTTGTGATACTGATGAGTCAAAGTCTCAGTCTAAGTAAAGCAGAACAACTGTTCTGAAAGCAGTAGTCTCTGCTGATTTATACCAGCTGAAATTTTGTCGCCATGTTTCTGATCCTGTCACTATTATTAGAATTATCGTAGGACCCAGATGTATTAAGTATCTTTCCAGTACAATGATGTGGCCCAATCCTTGCCCCAGAGAGCTGCCAGTACCAAAAGAGAGACAAAAGAGAAGGCACCAAGTCAACTTATTTTAGTATATTTTAGTCTTGTTCTGAAGAATTTACCAAGGAAGACATGCTTCAGGACAGCCTGTGCATACCATGAATTTGCTGCTGCTCTTTAAATTTCTTGATGACGCCAAGATGCTCCTCTTACTGCAGTTTAACACTACAGCGCTTCTATATTTTGAGACTGTTCTTTACCACCACTTTGTGAATTTTCAGCTCAATTGATTGTTTCATCCAAACTGATTTAACTGAATGCACTAATACATGTTCAAAAGAATCTCCACTAAACAATTTATATGACTCCAAAGGTCTTCCAAGCCTTTTAATTCTCTGTATTTTTGCTTTTTTTTTTCTTTTCTTAACTTAAATCCCTGTCACTGTTTATGGCTTATAAACATCTCAGCTTCCAGCGCTAGTGATTTGGAACTAGCTGCACAGATCTTGATGCACACACACGTGTATTGCATATGTCTGTCAGTTCTCATACACTGCTGAGTCTCTCATTGTTTTCAGACTTGCTGATCCAATTTAAACTGAATAACTATGGGATAGAAATCTCAAAGCTATGTTTTATATAAATTTCATGAAAATAAAGAGCTATGTATCTGGAAGGGGGATTCAACTACTGTTCCCATTAAGGCAAAGGCTGCAGCATGAGGCCACTCCTAATTAGACAGCAGAAAATGAATACAAGAATGCCCCAAACCCATGAAGGGAGGCATAATTTGGGGCATGCTTTATATTAGGTACTGTAAGAGTCAGCCCCAAGACAGATTCACAGGAAATGAGCTTCATTACCTCCTCTGGTCACAGAATGAACATGTTTTTGCTTGCAACATTTGTTCCGTTACTGTGCTAGGGATGGGTGTTAGATACAGGGATGGTAAGTGCCAGGAACATTCTTTCTGTTTTTGAAGATCATTCATATATCTGCTTTTCTTCAAAGTACTACAGTACCTCCCTGCTTTTAATCATGAGCAGCCAAAGCTCAGCTGCTACTGGCTAATACTCTTAGATGTGCATCGTTCTTACTGACAAGCTGTACATGTTGAGAGTTTCCTAATTAAAAACTACTATATTTGTACAGGTAGCACTTTATGTGTGGTGTTCATGTGTAGATGTGGAAGCAAGGAGAGGTGTGATCTAATGAGGCAAATATGCGATTGGGAGTCAGGATCTTCTCTGAGCGCTCAACCTAGCTTTTCACATTCCTTCAGTCTGTGGCCTAGGGAAAATCACTTTCTCTGTAGGTGCTAACATTCTTCATGCACAAGACAGGGTTAGTGCTGTCCTACCTCCTCAGAGAATTATGCAAGAGAATTAACTCACTAATGCTTTATGTGATTTTTAGCTAAAAAGTCTCATAGTGTTCTAAGTATTTTTCAGATTTGTAGCCCTAAGAACTTGTCAGGGAAGCATATGTCTCCTCAACATCAAGTTAAATCTGCCAGCCTGGGAAGTGCAGTTCAGAGTTTTTTACTTGCAGCAGCAATAGTTGTAGGGTGCTACCTGCTTCAAGGACTGCCTGTGTCAGGATTTGTCTAGGCTTCTGCTCTCCCTAGACACTGAGCCTTCAGAATCATGAGTGATGAGGTCTGTCTCCTACTTTTTGGATGTGCTGAAATCTCTTCCCAACCCTTCCTTTGTGTGGTCAGGCTCTGCTCTCCCCAGCTGCCCTCTTTATTTGCACAGTAGCTTCTCCTGGTTTCCTGTCCTGTCCCCATGGAGTTCACAGCAGGGCAGTATGCTTTGTAGCTGAATCCAGAAGCCATGGTCCGTGTCAGCTTCCAGTCTCCCCATCCTTGCCTGGAAGGCAGCCAGAATCTCAGCACAGCATGGAGACAAAGGCGTTTTTGGAAGTCTCTTATCCCCAAGAAAAACATCCATGACCTTTCTTTAGGCAGGTCTCAGCCCAGCTTTTGCAGATCAGACTTGGTTAGAGCATCCATGCTTGCTCTTTCTTCAGAGTCATGGACCTCCTTGCCAGTGCATGTTAACACAGGGAAGGGGTTAAGAGTGTATGCTTTGTGGACTCCAGGATCTTATTGGTTTTAGTAACAAGAAAAAGAACTCACAGGAAACATGCATAATATCAAACAGAGCACAATGAAATGTCACCCTGAATAAGAAGAGGGTGCAGTGACTTGAGGGTTCTGCCCCAAGCCCATGATGTGTCAGAGTCTTAAAATGCAAGAGACTAAACCAAGTTCCATTTTAGTTTGTTTTGCTGGGGGGAGGTGGGGTGTGACTGCTATTTTCCAGACTTCAGCACTTGTACCAGCTACTTATTCAAAATCTGCAAGCTGTGATCAAGGTAGAGCTTCAGGGAAGGGAGAGGTTAAGAAGGATTGGGAGCTGAAGGGCATCTTGTCAGTGAGCTCTGGTTAGGAAACAGGCCTGCGTTGGCTCCTGGACTTCCTCTTCTCCCTAGAGCTCTGCCTGTCAGAAACGCCTTCCCACACACCACTGCCCCACCATTTGCCAGAGAATTGCGGGGGAGAGGGGCTTTTCCTGTCTGTGTGCTGAGACTCAGCCAGCCCTCAGACTGTGGTTTTCTCTGGAGCCTGGAACCCACTTGCTGTGGCTTTGTGTGTTTTTCACCAGAGAAGAAACTGAGGACAAACACAGTGAAGGGCACTGCTCCCAGGGTCATGCTGAGGTGACTGGCGAGTGCTCAGCTATTCCCCTCATCTCCTGTCACTGACCTCTAGCTGACAAACTACATGGTTATGGTATTGCCTCTTTGCCCTGGGAATCTGACTGACTTCGAGGAAAGACAAGGCAGAACTCCCAGCAGGTTGCTCATTTCTGAAAGGAGCTGAGCATTTTGCAGAGCTCCTGTAGGGAACCATTCCCCAGTCCCTGCTTTTGCCAGTCTGCTCAGTTCTCCAGTGTCTCGTAACATGCAGATTGTTTTGTTGCCTGTGACAAATCTCCAACATACTTACTCTCCCACCGGCTATAGAAATAGAAATATTTTCTGTTCCCTGGTATTACTGGGGATTTCCTTTTCGTCAGCTGCTGACCTAAAGTCCCTTTTTTTCAGAGAAGGTGCTCTAGAGCCTTTCTGTTATTTCAGGCACCTACGGGGTCAGACTGAAGAACTGGCATTGTAACATCTTCCTCATAACCTTTTTCTTCCTAGAATTGTGTCTCAATCCCACCTCCTGCACAAAGAATCATTTAGCAAGATAAATGCAGAGATCCAGTCAAAGCAATAAAAGCTTTACTTCTTTGTGGATAGAAGCCCACTGCAAGATTAGATTGAGGATAGGACCACTTGTTTTTTAAGCCAGAATGGTGTCATTCTGTGGCAGTAATGAGCTTGTATGCCTTCCTAGAAGCTAGTCCCAGCTTCCAAGGGTATAAAATTCAGCTCTAAAAACTACTTCACGGACTTTACCGCTTAACTTTTCTTTTTGTGCATGGGACTGTCCCTGGAGCCCAGGGGTTGCCTTCACCAGGCAGATGTTATCCCTCACAAAAATGTCACCCACCTCCATCAGCTCTCTCAGCAATATTCAGAGAGGTAATCACCAATTACTATGGTGTTTTTGTGTTTATTTGTTTGTTTTTTTACCAGGCTCTTTTTGCCAACTACTCACAACCCAGCACCAGCCATATATCTATGCCAGCTGGCTCTGATGCCCGCAAGACATCAAGTGCCACTTCTAGTATCCAGAAGGCAGCCAGTTTGCACAAAGTGATGCCATCCCAGAGTACGCCTTCTCAGCTGGTTCCAAAGCCTCCAGCAAGCCACAGGCAGACAGTGGTCAGAAAGGCTGCAGCCCAGAGGATTTCCAAGTAAGTTTTTTCTCTTCCCATCCACAACAGGGAGTTGGCAGTGGTTCCTCCAAGGGATATTGGAGAAGAACCTGTCTACCTGTGACTCTGATATAGATCTTTTTAGCTATGCTGTCCGAGATAAATCTCAGGATAACCTGAGCTGTGTGTACTGAAATAGGTGTGCACTATGTTGCAGTTCCATGTTTCACAATGGTAAGGTAGGTAAGACTGTAACGTCATACAGACATAAGTATATAGGAACTGCCAGATTGAATCAGAGAAGTATCTGATCCAGGGTGGGATTCAGTTACCTAAATACAGGTTGCTAGTGACATTTTAGATGCCCAGGGCTATTCCACCTGATCTCCAGCTGCTGCTCCAGATGAGCATAAGTATTCCGTAGATCCTATGCTATATCTGCCAGTCCCATGCAGATGTCTCAAATAACTTGAAAGTACCAAGTATAGTACTAGACATCTATGTTTAGGCACCTGAGTCACTCCCTCCATGTTTAATCTTTGATGGGAGCTAGAATCTGGTGGGTCAGAAGAGGCTGCCAAAAAAAAAAAACAAAACCCTGATATCCTTAACAAGCTAATCTGCCCTTGAATCAATTTAACACACAATGGCTGACTTCTGCCTTCAAGCACAAGTGTTTATTTAATTTCAAGTGTTTATATTGTGCCTAATGTAACGATAGCTTTCCTCGTTACCTGTAGAAATCCTTCTTTTAACTTTTACTAAGTTTTTAGTTATATAATGCTTGCCATTCTAAGGTAGATGGATTTGGCATGTGTTATCTTCAAAAAAAAATTCACTGTGAAATGTTGCTTACTGGTTGTAAGCTTCTTTCCTTTCCATTTCTTGGTGTGTCTTCTCTTTGTGCATTATGAGAGAATGTGAGCAAGACTTCTGGGTTTTCTTATTATCCTTTACCTTTCATGGTAGCTTCCTCAGGTGTCTGTTTATCTCCTCTTAAATGACAGAACTGCTTTAGACTAAATTCTTCATCAGGTTTTTTCTCATATATTCTCAGACTTGTTTTGTTCCTGAATACTGAAGGGCAAAAATTGCATTCATAACTTCCTCCCTCATACTTACTGTACAGCCAAAAGAGTTGTAAAGCTTTCAGAGCAGGTTCCTCTGAGGTTTCCTGATTCTGTGTTCCCTTCGCATTTAAAGAGAGAAGCTTTACTAAAAGATTACTGACGAGACACACCTTATGAAGATGCTAGGATACTGTCAGTGTGTGTGGATCAAATCTGGAACTGCAAGGCGTATTTAAGGAGCTTGGACAGAATTGCTTTGGGGGAAGCTTGTGTATTTCCTGCCTGTACTCTTGCTATCTTAAGAGATAGCACACTGAATTAATCCCCCAAAACTATTTAAAAAGAAAACAAGATGTTAGTAGACTTTGTTAACTCAGCACATGCAGATGTGAGCATTGTGTCTGGCAGGTATATGCTGGTAGGTTTGCTATCTGATTTCTTTTATGTTGGGTAGCTCATGTTAGTACAGGTGACAGGCTGTGTCAGTGGGTTTCTCTGCCGGGCAGCAGGGATGTGTATTTGAAGATGCCGGTGTGCTGTGCTCACTTCTTGGCAGAGGAAATGTTTATCCTTGTGAGATGGAATTGCAGATCCTTGGACAGACTTTACTTTGCTGCATTTTTGTGGTTTCTGCTTTGTGACAGGCAGGAGTGTGGGAAAACCGGAAAAAGTTCAGCACAAAAAATGCACAGAAGGGGGAAAAAAAGCAAAAGATTCTTTCAGAATTTCAGAAAAGTAATCCAAGTACTGAAGGCTGCAAGGAGCCACTCCGGAAATACTTTCCAAGTTGCCTTTCAGTCTCCAGCATGAGGCTCCAAACCCATTCTTGCCATTCATGGGATCTTGCAGTAACATTTTTTCACTTACATGGAAGACAGCAGTGTCCAGCTATATTCCCAGCATACTGAGAGCTGATAATTTAAAAACTGCTATGTCTCAGTCTAATTTAATCCATTCATTGTTGTCAGGAAAAGACCAGCGATCCTTTGGATCTCAACAGAGGAGAGTGAATGGAGAGAAGCCTCTGTGTCAAAGGAGTCTACATTAGAGAAGAAAAAGATGTCTTGCGTGCTCCAGCCTGTTCTTTACAGTCCCTGGTTATTCTGTACAAAGTATTCTCAGGCACTGTGTGTAGTCTGGTTTCAAAAAACTCCAGTGGCAGAAACCCCACCATTTGCTATAGAAGACTATTTAAGAATCTAGACAACCCTATTATCAGAAAGTTTCTCCTGATGTGCAATCTGATTTTTTTCCTTTGTTTCATCCTGTTGTACCTTGTTCCTCTTTCCTGAACCACCCTAAACACTTTCCCTTGCAAATACTTTCCATCTTTTAACATTCTTCTACTTCTTGGAGTTTCCTGATGTTGCTTAGACTTGTTGAGGTTTTGTTAACCTCAGATAGTAGTTCCACCTGCCAAGTCCTTAATTGTCTTGAATTTAGTCTATTTTCTTCAGTTTGTCAGAGTGCTTGCATTGTGGCACCCAGAATTGTACTTTTCCAGTGTGGGACTACCGTATTCGTAGGTTATGACATGGCAAGTATCTCTCTCCATCACATATAATCTAATTCTGGCTTTTTGGCTGCTTCATTTCGTTGTCAGGTCATTTTTGATTTGCTGCCCACTCTCACCCCCTAATACTTGTTGGCTGTTTTCCTGACCTCTTTCCTCAGAGAAGATCTGAGTGCTATATATTATTTCCACAAGACTCACTGAAACTAATCCCATTCTCTTGTTAAAGGTCTCGTGTCACTTATTTTTCATCATATATTTTGATAAGCCAGACCTTATTTCTCTGTCTGCTTTTGTACTGCCTGGCTTTTGTTTAACATCTTAATAAAGGTCACCTTTTTAAAGTTGTTTGTAGAATTTCCCCAGAGACTGGACTGTGAAGACAAACTAAAATCACTTTTGTCTCTGACCTATCTTTTCCTTGCATGTGTTATCAATTCTCTCCAAGCCAGTACATATGGCTTCCAGGAGAGGAAGAAAAGAATAAGAAGTAGAAAACATAATGAGATGCTGAAGATGAACATTACTGACTAATTCAGAAATTAACTAGTAACTTGGACACTTCCCTGGTTAAAACATAAAGGCAAAAAGTAATGGAACAGCCAGACAATTCAGACTTGTCTCTTCAGTTCCTGGCCTCTCTTGTTTTCTCAGTCTCTCAACTTGTAAAAGGTGGTAGGTTGACTTTAAAATGGATTGTGTCCCAAGCAGACTCCTTGCTTAAGCTAACAGGGTGGAAATCTGAGGCCCATATTAATGTAGTCTCATAAAATGGTCTCATAGGGCTCCATAGTTTTGATTAAATGTGCTTGTATCACAAGTTTAAAGATAGTTTTTGAACGGCTAACACAACAAGCTCTTCTTTCTTTCTAAGAGTCAGACTGGGTCCTTTCCACTGCTCATGTTGCCACTACTGTTGGCAGGTCTGTGAACCCTGAAGAGACCTGCTGATAGCTGAGAGCAACATTTTGAGACAGAGATCACAGATATAGTATTTGTAAGCTGTGGAATGAAGCAGGTGTCCCTGGAAGCAGCATTTGGTGTATCGAATCTTCATGATACAGATGACAGCATGCAAAGTAGCAAAATATATTAGCTCAACTGTCAGAACGCAGAGTGAACCGGTGCAGGTGGTAGATGGAAAATCTTTCCACTTTTAAGGAATGACTAAGTCACAATAAAAAAAATTTCTGCGCTATCATTCCTATAGTAACTTTTCAGAAACCTGGTCTCTAACTATGACAGCATCAAGTAGAGCAATGCCTTGAGCAGCCTGTGAACAGAACTATTAGTCAAAAAAAAAAAATCTCAGAGAAATTCAGCTGTCAATGTTAGACCACTGTATATAAAGAGAGGAAATGCCAGGTAGACAAAAGGAGCATATAGTTCAAGGTGTTATCAGGGGGAGAGAGAGAGAGCCCAAGATCACTGAGTTTACTAGCAATAGACGGGTAAACATCACAAACTGTTGGGGATGTTGATCAACATGGCATAACTTCTTGTATTGAACTTCTCTGTAAATGTCGTTCCCAACAACTCTTTTCAGAATGCCTTTTGAAACAAATACTTCCTTCAAGTCCCAACACTGCAGCACAAAATCTTTCTACCGTGTTCTTCTTTTGTATATTTGCTTTACACGGTGTCAGCAGCAGAATAGCCAAAGTTCTGCTCTATTGTAACTAGTACAGAAATAGGGTAGAGATGATGCATTTCTCCAGGGTTCAGGAAATCCATCCCACGGCAGGGTGGAGTCCTGACTGCAATTGGATACGGCAGTAGCCAGCTGTTCTAGGACAGGCTGGCCAAGCCTGGCAAATGTGCCAGAAGTAAAATGATGGCCACAGAGCAAGCCCCGTAAAACACTGTGGTTCTGGTTTGTATCCTGTCTTGCCCACGTGTGCTTATGCACAGGCATGCACGAAGAGTCTTAAGTGAGTCCGGTACATCACATATACAAACTGAGTGCCCACTGAAAAGAGGACAGGCAGAAGGAGAGCAAGCATGTAACTGTAACTGGAACCCCTTTCACTTTATTGCTACTGCTGTACGGCAGCACGCTTGGTTTTTTAGCTCCTGAGCATCTGGGTTAATCAGGCTGCCTGACCCTTAGACATTTTTGGCAGCAAAAGCAGTGCATCTGAGAGACATGCCTTTATTTAACACCCTGACACAGCTGGGCTCACTAGGCCTGTAGCTCTTAGCCCTTGGCTAGCCTCAGATCATACACACAGATACACATGCAGAGATACCCTGTCCAAGAGCAACAAAGAGGAACAAGCCTCCCTGGCTCTGGGTGTTCACATCTGTTGCTGTCCTCTTGTCAAATCTGGGCTTTTTGTGATATGAATTTGTTAGTGTCAGTTCCATCCCCCCTGGACCATTAGATGCGTTCATAGCATGCCAGGAATAGGTTGTTAAAGGTGTTCAAAATTTAGTCAAGAAATTATTTTGTTGTCACCTGTGGAACAAGAGTGTCCTCCAAATTTGCAGTCCAAGGCTGGGCAGCTTAGGGCTGATTTAGTGCCTGAATGAAGTCAGTATCAGTTTCAAGGAGGGATTAGCTCTGTAAGAGATAGAAAAGGGCAATGACAGGTATTTAAGCGGATGGGACAGTGTTTTTGTTGGTATTGAAGAGAAGAATTGGGGAACACAACAGTAGATTGCATTGGAGAAATGGAAGCAAAAACAACACAGACGTTGAAAACAGGAAACTGAGAAAGGCAATAGGGTTTCAGCCAACCCACGGAGGAAGAAAATGGAAAAGGAATTAACTCAGTTTAAGCAGTGAATGTATTCTGGTACTGGACCTGCCATCAGGACAGCAGAGAGAACTTGAGGGGTGAGCTTAGCATGGTGGGAGATCAGTGACCCAGAAATAGATCTGAGAATGAGCTGTGTGGAGGTGACAGTTGAAACTGCAAGAATCAAGGTACACTGTGGGTAGGCAGAAAAGAAGGGCAAGTCTGTAGAGCAAAAGAGATTCTCTAAACATAAACAACGCTTTAAGGTAGAAGTGTGACTGTTCCCTGTTTTGTTTTTGTTGTTGTACTTGCTGGCATTCTTGACAACATTTTCAACCACTAGTCTTGCACTCTACCTACAGAAGACTGAGCTGAATTTGACTGTCAGTTGTGCTGAGTTATAAGTGGACAAGCTAATTATGATCATGGAACCTCTATGTAAGAAGCATAAAGATCCATCTGGATTCTCATCTCCCAGGAGGACCATGCAGTATCAGCAGTAAAAGAAACCATAAGTACAGATCCAAAATTCTCTCCAAGAGACAATAAACATAGAAACAGGCACCTCATTTGAGAATAGCATTTCAAATTATGGCTGACTGAAGTAAGGGGTTGTGTTTTGTAAATGTCATATCTGCATCCTTCTCCCTTCCTATATGGACTCCAATTTATCTTACTAAAATCCAACTGAGAGAAAATACAGGAGTCCCTCACTGGCCTTTTAGCTGCTAGGAACACCTGGATTACTGGCAACTTTCTGACTTTGAAATCTGAAAGTAAAAGATTTCAGACAAAACTACAGAAACTGGACACGTGTGCCTGGGTCTCTTAGTCATCAGGGCATCAGGTGGGGATTGGAGATTACAGTGCTCCTCTGGGGAAAAGCTCACAGTAACGGTGTAACACTGCAGAGCTGAATGAGTGAAGAAGGATTCTAGCAGAGAGACAGGAGTGTACGTACGGAAGTCTGGAGTCATCAGAATAAAGTTGAGCAGGAAGGAAGGCAGGCAAGGAGGGATAAGGGAAGAGAGGACAAACCAGGAATACGTGGATCAATTGTATAGAATTTTAAGGACAGAATAGATCATTGCAGCTGTATAGCTTGACCTCACCTTGTGAGTAGACCCATTTTTTATATAGGAGGGCATGGTCTCAGTTTGGTAATGAATCTTTGTAACAGTTAAAGGAATTGCAGTTGTACTCCACAGAGTATAGTTTTGCTGTAACTCAAATGCTGAGATAAATGCAGGAGGATTTGCATAAAGTGTCTGCTTGAGGACTGGAGCTGGACTACTGGAAATTAAATGCATCCTGTGAGTCTCAGTTTCCAAGACAAGTGAGAAATCTTGCCTAAATGAGCTGTGTCTGCTGAGACAAGATGCAAGGACTTAACTTTTGAATGAAGCATATTTCTATTCTAAGATTGCTTAATCGTTTCACTTTAAATCACTGGAGTAAGGTGACCATAGCATTACTAGTTGAATTGTGCTTTGGTGATCCGATACCATTTACTATCTCCTTTGTCCTCCAGAATCAGCTTTCAAGGCACACGGGACAATTAAGTGTTTTAGGTGCATCGAAGTCTTCTTGGTGGCTTGAGTGTCCATCTGTCTTGTTCTGCCTTCTTGGAGTTGGTTGCTGTCAGTGCCTTTTTCTTACCATGTTCAGGCACAGCTTCATAGCTACAATCCAAGTGAGATTATGTAAACTAGGAGGATTCTCAATTTTTTGTTTGAGACTTTTATTCTTCCTTGATATATCCCTTCTTATCTCTATCTAATTTGATGCTTTTACCTGTTAGGGTGACATCCACTGAAAGGCAACTAAACGGATTCCAGAACAGCCTTCACAGTGCTGCATCCTGTGAGCCAGGGACAAATTCCACAGGTGAGTGCCAGTGCAGAAGACCAGGAAAGTGGGGGTGGGCATGCTGGGATGCTTTCATCTTTTTCAAGAACTGGCAGAGAAAAAGCTTTCTCAGCAAGAAGAAGAAACAGCTGCCTACCCTGCATGTAGCAGTTCCTAGGTAACAGTCTGGGTTCAGCTGTGCAGGGAATTTATTCCTCCTGGGATTAAAAAGACTAAACAGAAGGGAGAAAAGGCTGAATTTCATAGAGCTGGAAGAGGAAGATCCCTAAAACTGTGGCTGGGAAAAAAAAACTTGGCTAAAATGGCTCCTCTTTGCTTTAGGCTTTGGCTCAAAGATGCTCTGTTGTTTAAGCTTGGCCTGTAATAACGGGCCAGGACATTCTTTACATTTTTCTTCAGTCTTGCAGAAAAGCCCCTTAGTTCAGAAAGACATAGTTGAGACTTGTGAATCAGCTGCATAGTGAAGTCAATCAGTAGAGGTGAAAGTTCCCGAAGGAAAGTTACTGAGACTTATAGAATCAAATCGTCATCATTCCCTAGTGGCTAATTAATTCAAACAGGTTTATCTGCTGTTAAGGTTTCAGTAAATGAAGACCAAATCATTTTTTGCTGATGTGGACCTACGAGCAGGTAGTGTAGTCTTGATGAACCCATATTACCCATGGCCCACAGAAATTTGTGATGGTGCTGTAATGGAATATATGGACAAATTATGGTCAGAATGCTTTAAAAAAAATGTTTCTGACCTTATGTTTTGCTGTGAAAACCCTGGAGACATGACTTGAGTATCACTAATGCAGTGATCTCTGTGTTTTAACAGGCTGAAATAAAAGTTTGCATAGGGGTGAACTACCCAATTCATCTCTTGGATATTTAGCTCTGAAACTTAAAATGACACTTCCATTATTAATGTCAGTGATTTTATTGCTGATCCTCTAACACAAACATTCAGCTAATGTACTTATTGTACAGTTCCAAACTGCCTCCCACACTTCACCACCTGCCAAAAACTCCAGTTATCCTACCAGAAAGTTTATACAGTGAATACCCATAGTCAATAAAAAAGACCCTACAGCACAGTGGAACATGACAGTGTAGGAATGGAATATAGTGGGCAAAAGTTCTGGTATACTGTATTGTTCAAGTTGAGTTTTTAGTACAGTATGTACTACGTATACATACATATGTACAGTATGTAACTAAGGTTACATATAAATTTACAAGTGAATGAAAAATGGAATTCTCAAAATATTGACCAAACTGGTATGCTGAGTGGACTTACATGAAGGTGTTTGTGCTGAATTCTGCCTTTTTTTTTTCAAAGTTTTAAGAGCACTCTCAAAGTTGCCACCCTGTAATTTTAACCTCTGCAAGAGATACTCTCCATCTCCTCTGGGTGCTGTTGCTGTTACATGTGTCTGTGATAACTCTAGGTAGCATTTTTCTATCCTTCACTGTTTTTGTGAATATTTACGCAAAGCATGCGTGAGGATTGTTGAGAATATTAATGATGGAAGGCAACAGCCAGAGCTGCAGGAAGAACATAGGCTAGATAACAGCTACAAAGTTCAGGGTGGTCACGCTCTCTGCGAATACTTATAATCCAGTGAGAGCTGAGAACTTCAGCTCGTATTTCCTTCTGTAGGACTAGGCTAGCTGCACTTGTACTAAACTTATCCTCTCTGAAGCTGAAACAAAGGGTTTAGCCTGCCATTTCGCTAACAGTGTGAGGGCTTAGATGGAACCCTAGTTTGGCTAGGGGTAGGCTAGTAGAACCATGGTGGGTGGGTCATTTAAAGCTTCCTTCTCACTAGAAGAGGTACATAGCTCCAAGAACAGTGCTAAATATTGCAGTGATGGAACTAACTAGAGCAAAATGTTTGTTCTTGGAAACTGGGGAATGATATTTTCTTCAGCTTTGCACCAAGCCACTGGTATGCGTCAGAGGCTGCTGTGCCCAGTCTGTGTGTCTCAGAAATTACTCTGGTCCTTCATGCAGGAACAGCTGTTTTTCTTCTTCACTCTCTCCATTGATTGTTTACACTAGGGCCCTGATTTCCCTCATCAGCAGCTTATTTGGGGTTACTGTTTCACATCTATTTAGTATCCTAGATACCAACTAGAGGGGTTGGAGACAACTCATAAAGCAGATTACGGAATAAACTGCAAGCATTTAAAGATAGAAGGCTGTGAAAAGTTGCAGAGATAAAAAAGGAACTAGACAGAACCTCTGTATAAACACACACAATGTTCAAAAATGTCTGAGAAGCTTGAATAAGCCTTTTCCTCTAACAGTCTATCTGAGGATAACTATGGGCCTCTGCAGAGAAGCAGCATAAAGGTGTCACAAATGATCTAACCAAAAGTAAGGATGATGGTCAAAGGAAGAGAGAGTCAGGCAGTATGGAAACTTCTAACCAGATGGTCCAGAAAACAGTTTGCTGGTAGTTAGTACTGCAACTGTAGGAGAATACCAGTTGTAGATACTGTTGTGCAGTGGGCTCAAGCTCTTGAGGACAGATCACTTGAGATGAAATAAAAGGGAGAATAAAAGTCAGCATTTCTGCCAAAGCAGCTCAGGATTATGAAACAAGCCACCACTACAATGAAAGTGTGGCAGCCTCTCATCCCTACAGCCTCATCCTTATTTCATGGAGAGGCAGAAGTTGTGTGTGAACTGTGTGCCACTGGTGTAATGAGGGAGAAGGTGGAGATCCTCATGAATATCTACAGATGGGAAGCTAAATCTGCAAGTTATCATTTGGGAGTTATTTGTAGTCTCTGAACAGACAGTTTCCTATCAAAGTTCCTGAAAGTTTAACAGGATTTATTCTATTAAAGAAATACTAAGAATTACTACCTCTAGGGAACATCCAAAATGCTTCTGACCTGATTTTTCACTGAAATTGAACAACCAGCTGCTAATGGGTTGTCAGTCATTCTGAAAATACAGCCATTATCACACTGCTTTTTTTATTCTGTGTTACTTTAAGGGTCTCTCAGCATTACGCTGATTCTTTCCTGCTTCATGGAATTTAACAATTCAATTAGTGTTAGTGAAATAGAGTGATTGTGAACCAAGAAATCAATTGGTCTTTTTTTTTACTGGATGTATTAACAATGTGAGGTGTATGGAGACATTTTGCCATATTTTGCTGTTTTATTTTCTGTTCCTCTCTAGTGGCATTAGGTGACTAGCGCATGAGTTCTTTTTCTCAAGAAAGTGAAGTTCTAGGTGAAAAAGGTGTCACTTTTCCACCAGAATTTAGCTTTTGAACAACTGGCAAGAAACATCAAGGAAGTTCTATAGCTACATGGAAGACCTCATAGTTAGAAATTTATTATATTTATTATTCTTCCCTTTTGAAAATGCTAACACAAAGCAGGTTTTAGGGAGAATAAAGCACGAGGGGCACTTTACAAAAATATAACAGCACAGTCCCAGGCAGCTTCTCTGTTTCTGAGCTGGACTTTTGTCTGCAAGAGCCTGGAGACAGGAACAATCTGAAAGTATAGTTAAGCCCTCAATGCAGTTGTGGAGTGGATGGACAAGGTGATGACCACAGCTGATTTCATTTGGTTTGATTTGTAAAGGTAACAGTAGCTATGAGTGAAATCTGTCTTTGTGCTCCTCTCTTTCATTTGCTGCCAGCTTCTTGAAAGTGTTTGAAATTTTTATTTTAAAAGCTTCAGAAGACAGAATACCTCTGGGGTTCTCTTTTGCTATGGCAAAAATATAATGTACTAATAACCTATATAATTACAAACAAATATGAATCATGATTAAAACTGGGCAAGACTGATGCCTGGCTCCAGACTTGACAGGACTTTCACCTTTTCATACTCAGACTGATTAACAGTGATGAAGTTTTATTATGCCAGTGTTTATATTAGTAAGTGTCCACATGGCTTTTCCACTACGTGTGCTGAGAGAAGAAAAAAGCATTAGAGTTACTGATTAGGGGAGGTAAAAGCTAGTAATATGCTGTTTGACTTTGACAGCAGTGAAGATCGCCAATTCATGCAAAGTCTTGGGTCTCTACCTAGTCTGGTTTCAAGCATGAGTCCAAAACTAATTTATTTGTCTTGCAGTTCTCTTTAGAATACTTCATACCGAAGGTGAATGTCAAAACTCAATCTGAAGCTAGGGAGGAAACTTCTTGAGCTAGGTGGTATAGACTTGATTTTATTCCCTGTGATTCCCAGGTCTGTATCTGAGTTTAGTTGCAGGATGATGCACAGTTGTCTGTTTACTCTGGACATTCACCTGGCCCCCAGATCTGCATGAATGCCAAGTCCTGAAGGTATGCAGTTCTTTCAAATAAAGTGTATCATCATCTGTAAGGGCTTAAAACTGGATCCTGAACTGCCAAGACACTAGTTGAAGAATATGGGGATTAATAAACTGGTTTGGATCTATTCCATGTAGAAGGCAAGCTGCTGTTCTTAGTTTTCTAGTGATTTCCTTCTTTAGGCTAAGGTGGAGAGCAGTGTCTGAACGCCATCCAAATAAGACAAATGTGCAAGCAGTGTGGTCCAGTATACAGCAATGAATGGAGCCTGCTTGCAAACTAGTGATGGTAAGGAGCACTTTTGCACTAGCATCTAGCACGCTCCAGGTTTTTTTTCATTTTACAGGAAATCTACAGGTAGACTGTGTATTTGTAAAGTTTCTTATATCTAAGATTATTGTATGGTCCTTCATAAGAAGGTCATGTATATCTTGTTATTGGAGACTGGAAATCAGAGTTAACGTTGGAGGTGCCAAGACTGGCTATTGTCTACCCACTGATTGAATTAACATTACTGCTGTAACACAGCCTCTTTTATATAAGCTTAAGGAAAAAAAGAAGATATTCTTTTAGCAGGTATGCAAAAGTACAAGCTTCAAAATTATCCTGCAACAGCAAAATAAAAAAAAGGCAAGTAGACACAACAGGCATTTAAACAAGACACATAAAATCACTTTGTATTGTTTGCCAAATCTAAACAAAGAAAATGCCTGGGATTTGGAGATTCTTTTATCAGCCAGTGTCTCTCTTGGAGCATAAAGGGTGGGGATGAGATGGGATATGTACTGTTGCCACTCTGAATGGTCTGTGTCAGACCCCCAGCCACTTGCTACAGTAGGGTGGAATTCCCAGCTGCCCAGTCTTGTCCAGGCTTCCTCAGCTTCTGCCAGGCTCCCCGGCAGCCTCAGAAGGCAGTAGATTGTTGAACACCAATGTATTTATTTTTATGTTGTTACCGCATTCCCGAGAGGAACCTTGGCTATGATTTCAGCTGGTCTCACCACACTGTCCAAATCCTTCATCAGGAGCAGCTGGGAAAAGAAATCACTCAGATTTCTGCACAGCACATTGCTCCCTCCCACTAATCCTGTTAATTCCAGTCTTCATTTGCCACCCTCCTGGTTTTCTCTTGTTGCTGTGACTGACTGCACAAGTGGTCTTGACTTTGAAAGGTGACCTTCAAATGGGCACCTCAAATAACCTCTACTTCAGGCTCCTTTGGCTACTCAGGCACAAGATAGCTTATGACACAAAAAAGCAAGTTTTGATGTCATCTCATTACTTAATCCTAGTCCAGGAATGGAGTAATGATGAGCTCTTCCACATAAATCTGTCCAGAACCACCTGTCTGGCTGAGAAGCTCTCAGTGGGTCACTGAAAGGGAACAGCAGTGTGATATCCAGCACCTTGCATCAAAGTTTTCCAGTGCAGCTCCTCACCCTGCATACAGCCTTTGTCAACAGCAGTAACAACACTCTGTCAGCATCTCTTTCTGTAGCGCCGGGTCAGTGCTTACTGAGAAATGGAATCAGTCCATTTTATCATATTTTGGAAGGCAGTGGAGCTTGAGGTGAATCCTACTATTGTGCCAAGAATCATTCACAATGGTGGATATTTGGTTTCACATTTGTTCTTATAATTACCTTCCTAAAGCCACTGTTATTTCACGCATCGTGAAAACATCCTGGATTTTCTCTCTCTCTCCCCTGCTGACTTCCGCAGTTTCATAAGGAGGGCAAATGGGAAGAAGGAAAAGATAATTTCTCTCCCTGCTATAGCTGTTGCAGCTGTCCCAGGTCAGATAATGACAGACAAGCCGTAGTACCAGATAGACCAGAAGGGAAAGGAGAAGGGTAAAGAAAGACCTTCTCCTTACCTCATTTCTTGGTACTCTTTGAAGGAGCAGGGAACCATGACCTTATGACTAGCAATGAGCAAATATTGATTTGTCTAACCAGTACCTTCAAAATAGATACAAATTATCAACAGGGCATGACTGTGTTGGAGTTTATCCAGTTATCAGAAAACTGTGTGCAAGTCTCATTAAGTCCCACCAGAGTGTAAAGCTCTGCCAAAAGCAGCATTCCAGGCCCTTCTCAGATGATGTTAAGAAGATAATATCCAACTCAGCCATCACCTCTCAGCTGAGGGTCAGTGTTCCCTTCTAATGATGGGAAATGACATTTATACCTTTACTTGTGAGAACAGCCTGCTTCTCACACCATTAGTCAACCTTTTGCCTTTCTTTTATGGAAGGAAGGAGCTCTTTCCTGTTGCTACTGGTCTCATGCCACTGCAAGGACATTCCAAGTCTCAGGACCACTGGGAAAGCAGGAGAAAAAGGAAAGGACAGTCTCTAGAAATTGGCTTCCCTGTTTAAGAACTAGAACACAGCTTGAATTTTAGCAGCCTTCACTTCTGACAGACTCAAAGAAAACTCTGAAGCAGGATAAGTAATGACTTCAGGCATTTGGCATTTTTGCCTGACTGGAGGCTTGAGCATTGCGTGTTCTCAGTAGTTAGGCGATGGCGAACTGCCTGTATTTCCTTGCTGTGTTGGAAATGTCATGCAAGATCAGGTGTGCAAAGACTGGGGAGAAGTTATATAATATCTTGGCTACTTCTGTCTCACATCTGGCCCTTTGGCATTAAGCTATCTATAGAGAGGATGCCTTCGCCCATCCAAATTGGATTTTGTTTTAATCTGGCATTATTTTATTGAAACTAAAAATAGAAGCCAAAATGTGTGTGAATAGGGTAAAAGGAGTGTCTGAAGTTATGAAATGAAATGTGGGGAAGAGCCAGAGAAGAGAGAGCCACAACAAACCAGGGAGTAGGGAGCTGAATAAGAGAAATCAGAATGAATGCTGTCAAGTACAGACGGGCATTAGCAGTCAGAGTGAGGGGCACACCCAGTGTCTTCTCTGTAACATGGGAAAAAATCATGCTGGCTTCCAGTGCTATTTCTCCACTTGTTAATGAGGCTGCTTACTGCTCTTTCCATGCAGGGAGACTTCACTCAATACAGTTGTGTGTACTGTTTGTGTCACACACACACACACACCCCCCCCAAGTACATTTTTGTGACTTGGAACTGCTGCTTTCTCTTGCCTGCCTGGTCCAGCAACTTGAAATTGTGCCCAAAAGATGGGGGAGGGAAGGCTGGCCTTCTGTTGTCAGCTGTCCTGGCTTGCTAGTGTCAGTCACCCATAGATATAAATAAATCCCATCTATTTATTGCCTTTCTTAGTTGCACTATATATTATCAAGAGAATGCTGGGCATTACTCTAGGATTAGAAATTCCCTCTGGTCTGGGATTAAAAAAATCTGAATTTCTAGAATTATCAGAGCTTTTCAGGGAGAAAGGATGTTCCTGTTTTCAGGAACTATATTCAGGAGGCTTCAACATGCTTCTCAGTTCTGCCACAGACTTGCTGTGGGTATGATGAAACAGCCCAAACTAGCTCTAAAAAAATGTTAGCATGGGTCCCTGACCCAGTACTGTCATCTAGCCTCTGTCTCATTCCAGCAGCTTGGAAGCAGAGTAGATTGGGTGCTGGTGTCTGACTAAGACTGTGTACATCTGTGCTGGGAAAGTCTATATGGCACTGAATTTTAGTGTGCAGTATCCCGTAAATGACTTTCCACAACTCCTATGATTTCCTTGTGACTCAGAATAACACCCATAAAATGGAGGTAATCCTTTTCTTCTCCCTGTGTAACTGTTCTAAGTACAAAAGTGTTAAAGTTTTTGAGGTGCAGTCATGGATGATGTAATAGTATGTAAACATGTGGACAGACATACGGGCAGATACTTTAACACCTCCTGGCAGGTGGAGAAGAAAGCAGATTCATTCTGTTGTATGTGGTGATTCACTGCAATGACTGTTATTGCTAGGAAGAATCAACCCTTAATGTTGGCCGCTGTCAGGAATGAGGTTTTTTTCTGTCCCCTCTACGTCAACCAGAACCTCAACCTACTCAACCAGAAGAAGGTGGAATGCTCACCAATAGCTTTGAAATGATAAAACTTCATAGAATTATATATATTAATATTTATGAAATTATTGAATTGGCCATGAGCTGTACTTATGGTAGGAACCTACATATTTACATAGGAATGCACCTCTCTGTGTTGAGTCCTCAAGGCAGCCATTTAAGAGGAATTCACACAAAGTGATTTTGATTCAGTTTGTGAGAAAAATCAAACTGTACTGTGCATTTCTGTAGGAAAAGGAAGGCTCAGAAGTCTCTTCAAAACAGGAAGATGAGGTTGAAGTTGGCTGTCTCTCTCATGTGCCTTTGTTTCCTTAATTTCAGCATATTGCCAAGGGATAGGTTTCTGGACTGGTATCCTATCTTAGTACACATGGTTGACAGTGTGGTTCCTAATTCAAGTTCCAAACTTTCTGTGCAGTGACACAGCTGGCAATCCTGCTTTCTAAACATCTTTCCAGATCCTCTGTGCTCTGTGATGTTTGGCTTGTATGCTGGGCTTTCAAGGAGAGCATACTTTTAAAAATATAGTAATATTTTTAATAAACAGCCCTCAACAAATGTCATTCATATTTAGGTGCAAGATAATGTGCTAAATACACAGGATAAGCCTTGCCTACTAGAGTACCTGTAAAATGCAAACTGTCCAAAATAAACTTGGTACATTTCTAAGTGTTTTGGATTTTTCTTTTTAAAGGACTGTCTAAGCATTTTTAAGTAAAAGAAGTGAAGATGACATTGACTTTTTCCCATAACATGCCTAAGCTGGAAAATGTCGCAGTATGTAGAATTAAAATCTACCTGTATAATAATGGGAAGAAAAAATGTTTTCCTTATCCCCATTCCATTTCTTTTAAAGATCAATCTTTTCACATCCCCACCTCTCCTGCACCAAGGTCTTTGGCATCTTTTGGAGTGGGGAAGTAGACTCTCATTCAAGTGAATGAGTAAAAGGCACAAAGAAAGAGACAAAGCACACGGGAGAAGAATTTAGAGCTACTGGAGGAGTGTGTGAAGAGATGAGTCTAAGGTGAAGAGTGAAGAAGGTATCCTGGGGCTTCAGAGGAATACCGAGTACTTTTTCACACAGTAGCTTAGTAAGTCAGGTTTTGTCATACTGATCTGTGATCTCATCTGTTACTGTTGAGAGAGGTGGTGTAATAGGGAGATCCAGATTTCTGGTGATGGCTGAGATTTGCAGAGCAGTGCAGCAGTTTTTTCCCACAGAACGGTCTCCTTGATTACTCAAAATCTTTGTTTTGTGTTTTTTCCAGCCTCTGCTCACAGAGAAGGACTACCACTGAACACCAGGTGAGGAATCCAGGGTGTTGCTTCAAGTATGGGGCAAAGGAAAGAGTAGCAGTGACTTCATACCACCACACTCCCATAGCACCCAGGAAAGAGTGAAGAGGAGGCCCTGGTGAGAGGACAACCCACAGAGGAGAGTACCTGCACATCTGTGGAAGCCAGTGATACACCTGCAAGCTGAGGTGAATGATTGCTTCTGAGAGCTTCTGCTACTGAGTCTTGGGGTCCCTTCCTCCAACCTCTTCCTGATCACTATCCATGAGATCTTTCTGTAAGACAGAGGTCCTCCAGCTGTCTGTATTGTTCTTCCTAAGGTCCAAGTTTGAACATGAAGTCTCATTTGCTCAGCCATTTCAGTCTGTCCTAGTCTGGTAACAGCCAAGAGTCTCTGCTGTCATCACATGGCAACCATCAGCAGAGAAAAATACTAGAACATATGATTGGAGACACCCGTGTTGGTTGCCATCTAGAATTTTGGCAAAGAGCCATGGAAATGCTTGGTTTGAATAAAGTAATTTCATTTGTTTGTTTTGGTTATAATTTTAATTATTGATTCACACCCCTAAAATATTTGCTGTCATTATGTTGGACAGGATTTTAAATCTGTCTTTATGTTTCACTGTTGGATGCTTATGTTCTGTGTGGCTTATTTTGATATTTTGATTTCTGTTTGTTTAGGCTTTATAAACTTTTTAAATTGGCTGATGTTTTCAGACCCAAGCTTGAACCCTAAGGCCCAGGTGGCTCCTATCAGTTGCAATAGTGGCTTGCTGAAGCACTCCAGTTAAAATTTGCCTAATGCTATGAAAATTAATTTGCTTGTGTTAGAAAACAACACCAGCAGCTGGAAAATGTATTGGAGAGAAGATCCACCCATCCTTAAAATGAACAGGAAGCAGCTTCAGCTCTGGCTCTTTGCTGGTGCCAGGTTAAAGGAAAACTCAGCATTTTGCAACTTCTGCCTTGTCAAAGAGCAAGTGTAATCGCTCTTTGTAACTTTCATCGTAATTCTCAAAGGGTACAAAATCTCCTGTTGTTTGTATGAGAGCCCTCAGAGATTGGATTCTAACAGCCTGTTTGATCTGTTTTCTTATTCCACAGCTCCCCTGTCATTTCTAGCCTGTATAATCAGTGTTAAGAGATCATTCTCATGTGTTGGCAAGTAGATAATGATCAACCCAAATGTCTGACAGAAGAAACAGTGTCAGAGGGGAAAACTGTTTTCTCTTGAAATGATTGTGTTCATGTTCGCTCTTGGATTGTGCATATTTTCTGTCATTCAAGACCGGATAAATTGTAAGAAGATGAAATAATTATGTTCATACCCCATAAGTTTCACTATCACTTGCTCCAGGCATGAATTCATAGGACAGAACACGTATTTTTCTATTTCTGTTCCGCTCATGCATACGACAGACAGAATACTTCATTTGTCCAAAATGCAATTCTCTGATGTAGCTGTTCCCTTTCTTACTTCATTGGCTTATCTTTCATCTCCTAGACAGTCATGATCCTGCTTACTTTCTCTACATTTTTCAGCTGTGTTCTTCAAGAATCTCCACAGCATTTGTCTGCTGCCTGTGCCGCTATCATGTATCACCAGTGACCAAGAGATTTGTAAAATCTTGTGAAGTTACTTTCAGATCATGCCCCTTCTGTCTGTAATCATTGAATTCCACCCGCGGATCTCTGAGATAGATGCTTCTACTTGTGCATCAAGTTGTTGGCTCATGATTAGTGAAAATTTAGTTGCAGAAGTTATGTCAAACTCCTGCACATCCTCAGCAGCTGTGGGTTTCAAGACCTTAGGTCTGTCTGCTCATAGCCTACTCTGCTACATGCAGTATTGGCTATAGCCTCCAGCTCTGTTCCAGAACTGTCAGAGGGGCTATTTCCCTATAAGATTTAGCTTCAGTAAATAATGGATTCCATTCCTTTCCTTCTCCCAGGAGATCTGAGTTATCCTTATTCCACTGGGTTTTATGTGCGGGATTGCATAGTTATAGGATATACATCCTTGTGGAACTCTCATCTCTATTTTTGTTCTGTAGTTTCTTCGTTCAGGTTGTCACAGCCACCACTGAAAACTATAGAGAGATTTGGAGAATAGAGATTTAAATGCACAGTTAGCCCAGGAAAGATGATTGTCTTCAAAGGATCATTGGCAGAAACAGCGTTCTTATATCTGGCAAGTTACCAATTAGTGCTGGCTTACTATGAACATAGGTTAATTGTTTTGTCAGCTTTGCCAGTTTCCCACCCACTCATTTTGCGATAATCATTTGTACTCCGTTATAGCCAGCACGTTTTCTGAACTTCTTTGCATTCCATGTTAGATGTAGCCAACACTGCATCTGTAACTGTGATGACTTAGTAGCAGGATATCAGACATCTTGTCTCTAAAATTTTTGAAATATTCAGAGAAATGCACATTGCAGTCTAAGACCCTCGTTTTGAAGGGATGCATTTTGTCAGCTTCAGAAGCAGTGAAGTCTATATCCTTTGTCCCTGGAAAAGTTTTCTTCTGCTTCCAATAAATAAAAAAACAAAACAGGGATATCAAGACAGGTCCTTTACCTCAAGCCAAACAGCCAGACCTTGAACTCCTGTTCAGCCTCAGGATATGTTAGGGCAGCCAGAGCATCAGAGGAAATTGCCTTTTGGAAAAAAATTCCTTTGCCTTGGGCATCTGCTGATTCCAGCTCTGAGCACAAATGCTGTTACCTTGGGAGCATGTGCAATAGAGAATCAGGAACAAATCCTGTGATTCCAGCCTCTTACATTTTCCATCTCCCTGTACTCCTCAGCCTGGAGTCCATGTATGTCTTTGTGCATGGTGGATACTGTGTACTGAAGGATAACATACATATTTTGTCTCATTGCAGCTCTGTTACCTCCATGACTGTCTCTTTTCAAAAACCTCTCAGAGTGCTTCAGTTACGAGATTTGGTGGGGAGGCATAGAACTGTTACCCACACATCTTGGAGAAAAGGCATTTTACAGGAAGTGTTTTCTAGTACAAGGGAGGAATGGAGAACAGCAAACCGTTTTGGATTTATGATAGTTGTACATTAGAGGAGTACAATTATATACATGCTCCTCAAGTGGGGATTAGTTTGTCTCTGCTTTTATGACATTTACTTCCCTGTATTCATCAATGAGTTTTGTTGAAAGTGCTTTTGCTTACTGTAAGAAAAGAAAATTACCAATAGAAAGCCCCAACAATCATTCAGCATCTACTTCAGTAGTGAAACTGGATAATGTAAGCAAGGGGTGGTCCTCTTCTGTCCTACTCTGTGATGTTTGCATCACTTCTAAGTTAAAGAGCCTGTTCCAATGACAGAGGATCAGGCTTGTTTGGCTTGAAAGGAGTAAGGTGCACATCAGAGTCCTGGAGGCTGAGGTAATGCAGAGTTCGTACAAGCATCTTGTGCTGTGTTTAGGTGATGAGCATACCACAACATAAAAACTAAGGGAGGAATATTAGATTCTCTCCTCTCCAGAAGCAGCTGACTTGTACTTGGTACCTGAAGTATTAAGTTCAATTTTATGTGGTTCATCTTGGCCTTTAAAGCATCCTCACAAGTCGTGAGTGCCATCAGTGGGAGATCACACTGTGACACTAGATAGGCCACTTAGTCTGGATGCCAGTGACACATACTGAAATTTCCATTCTCAAGACTAGATGTGCTTTTGGACAATCATGGTTTGTTGGAAATGCTCCTCATTATGATACCTGGAAGGTCAACATACATCCTTCTGATACTGGTTCCTCCTGTGGCAGGAGGTTTTGGTGTCAAGACCTTTGTTTACTAATAGGAATCTCAATGCTGTGCCTCTTCCTTATACTGGAATATGGATAGTCTCTGTGTGCATGGAGCTGAATGGTTGGCAGTGCTGGACCAGTCCTCCTCTTTACCTGTGAAAGAGATCACTGACTTACAGATGAGCTTACAGAACAGACTGGATTCTCAGCTTGCATTCTTTCAGGCCTGCACCTTGTACTAATACAACAGTTCCACTCATTTTGGATTATTTGCTGGAAACAGAAGTAGTCTGGCTCCCAACTTATTTTCTTTAAGGTTTACTTGATCAAACTGACAAGGACTTTTTTCCTCAGTCAGTCTTACATTTCCTGCTCATGATAATCCTGGGCTTGCTGTTTGAATCTGGATGGGTTATTTGCTGGTGTTCAAATAGTTGGATTTTTTCGGTTGTAGTAAGTAACTGGCTGATTGATCCTCTTCATACTATTTCCTTTCTGGACACATTATTCCTGTGGATCTGTCATGAGTTTCTTACAAAAGAAGCTTCTGAGCTTTACTTAAACCTGGGACTTGACCTCCTTTTCTTCTTTCTAGAACCTCATGTTTCTAGAGGTAAGATATCATATGTTTATGCCAAATGTCAGGAAGACCTTATTTTATCTTTACAGAATCAAGTCAGTCAAACAGTCCTTGAGACTGGTTATACCAAGAGCACAAAACTTAACATTCATAGTTCTCTTCATGCAGAAAATGGTTAATTGGAAGAGATGGGCAAGGAGGAGTGTAAGGGAGAAGATGAAAAGGGAGTAGTTGTTCACAGTCTTGCCCACTAGAAGTAGGAGCATCAAATGAAATTAACAGATATCAGATTCAAAGGAAAAAACAAAAAAGGGGGTGTGTGTGCAATTTTTTTTTTTAAATGCTATGTTACTGACCTCTGGAACTCCTTGTCATAAGAAGTGGTACATACAAAAAAGTGTATATGATTTGAAAAGACAAGTAGACAAATCAATGAAAAAAGTTATCTATTAGGGCATATTAAATATTAAAACTAAAAAAAAGGGAGGAAGTTTCTAAGACTTTTCAAGTGACTATTCTGGGGAAGTATCACAATGGGCTTTTCCAATTTTTAGCTTGTCTATTGGGCATGTACTGTTGACCACGGTTAGAGACAAGAGGTGGGCTAGATGGTCTTGTAGTTGACTTTATATGGACATTTTATTTTGACAGTTGCAGTACAGCTAAGGCAAAGCTGCCTTCCATGATAGCAGCATGTTCCACCAGAATTCACTCCGTGGTGGTGGGTTCTCTAAGAAAAGTCTCCATTGCTGACATCTGCCAAGTTGTCATATGCAGCTTGTCTACACCTTCACCTGGGTAGGCACTATATATTGCAGAGGCTTTCAGAATGATGAAGCTTTTACAACAGCATAAAGGACACCAAGATCCACCTCTAGACGGTTGTGATTTTGGAGGAAAGTAGGTTGCTGTATACACGTCAGCCATAATATGATGTTTATAAATGGTTAATCACTTAAATATGGAAAAGAAAATACTTACTTACCACTAGCTGAAGCTCTTAAGTTATCTTATTCATACACATCTCATTTCTTGCCATCTTTGTCTTTCAAAGAGCTTGAGCGCAGAGCACCTTCAGGGTGAACGTGCACAACCACAGCACATCTTAAAGAACTACAGTACCTGGTAACTGCTTTCTTCCCACTTTAGAACCCTACTGTCCTTCTTCCAAAGAAT